GTCGTTAAAGTTTCGTTGGAACGAAGTTACGGAAGGTTAATTAACAAACAGAGACGTAACACATGGAAAAAAAAGACACACATTAAAACTAATGTGGTAACTATTCCACCTGGCCTTACCTTGACAGATGCAGAAAGATCCGTGCTGAATAAGGGACTTAAATTTGTCCCCATTCGACCAAGCGTGAGTGAATTTCACTCAAAACGTGATTGCGAACTATTTTTTTGGCGCTTAAGAATCTAAGCCTATTTTCATACCAACAATTCAAGTAAAACCGATAAAAACTGCCTTACAGAACATGGTAGAAATAGTACCAACATAAATGGTGAAATCACACAAACCAGTAGCATTGAAGACCCCTTTTGCAACTTACAACACATTCTCAGCAGATGGACCCCTTCCAGTGGGTCACTTCCACCGAATGTCGTACTGTTGTCAACAAACTTAACTTCAAAGCACGAAACTCTAAAGACAACATCATATATGAAGAACGCAAAGCCTTGCAAAATATTCATTCTAGATATGATATTATTATCAAATCATCAGATAAAGGAGGAACTGTGGTCGTGTGGCGTAAGAATCTTTACCTTCAGGAAGCGTAACGTCATTTCAGTGATTTACTATCGTACAAACCGCTTCGGGACGACCCATTACCGAAATATCATGAAGTCATCACAAAACACTGTCAACGAATTAATTGATGCTGAGGAACTACTCACATCTGCTAGCAATTTAATATTACCTATTTCTGACTCTAGAACTGGTGTTTTCTATTTAGTGCCTAAAATTCATAACCCCAACAACCCTGGTAGACACATTGTGTCTACCTGTAATGCTCCAACTGAACTTATCTCCAGTTATTTAGATTCCGTAATGGCTCCTCTAGTCCACTCACTCCCCTCTTATATCAAGGACACTTATCATGCCCTTAGACTCTTGAACACAGTTTTAATCCCAAACTAGACTCGGTCCTTTTATTTACTATGGACATCAAATAATTATACACCGTAATACCGCAACAGGAGGGTTTAATAGCCTTAAGACACTAAACGTAATGAACTTCACCCCCCACTAACTTTGATCAGTTTAGCAGAACTAGTTTTAAAATGCAATGGGTTCTGTTTTAACAATGAATTCTATGAACAGGTTAGCGGCATAGCTATGGGAACTAAAATGGGCCCCAATTTCGCAAACTTTTTTGTTGGATATATCGAAGAATACATGTTTACACAGTATGATGGTCCCTTACCCCTACTTTACGAGGGATATATCGATGCCGTTGTTAGAATCTTCACGGGCACCTTGCCTGAGCTAGAAACGTTTATTCATTACGTAAGTAACTTCCATCCTTCATTGTCTTACACGCATGACATTTCTGATTCACCACTACCATTCTTGGATATTCTTCTTTCTATGTCTTCTGATAAAATAACAACCAGTGTTCATTATAAACCTACAGACACCAACAACTATTTGCAATTTAATCTAACCACCCCACATATATTAAAAAGAACATACCGAAATCCCAGTTTATTAGACTACGGAAACTGTTTAGTGCACCTGATGATTTCAATATCCGCTCAACAGAATTGGAATCATTTTTTTATGATCGTGACTACCCAAAAAACATTCTGAAAAAAAGCTCGTAAATATGTTGTAAATCAAGACCACAACTCTTCTTCATCTCTCACGGAAACGAACTCTAAAAATCTCCTGTACCAGGCCGCCCCTTATCCTCA